AAAACACTTTTAGTTGTAAATGGACATAATACCTTTATTTTATTTATTTTTATGTGGTGCTGAGGATCAAATCTGGTGTCTCACTTATGCTAGGCAAGTGCTGTACCATGGAGCTACAACCCCAGCCCATATCTAGCCCTTTTAATTTTTTTCTTCTTTAATGCACTTATTTCTTGCTAAGCTGCTTAGGTCCTCGATAAGTTGCTGAGGCTGGCCACAAATTTGCCATCCTCCTACCTCAGATTTCTAAGTCTCTGGGATTACAGATGTGTGTCACCATGCCTGCCTTGCCATTCTTTCTTTCTTTTTTATTTTTTAAATATTGTTTTAGATGTTGATGGACTTTTTTTTCATTTATGTATAGGCGGTGCTGAGAATCAAACCCAGGGCCTCACACTTGCTAGGCAAGCACTCTACCACTGAGCCGCAACCCCAGCCCCCATTATTTCTTTTGATGCTCAAAGTATCCCTGCTTTGGCTTTGGTAACTCCTTCAAGCTGGTTCCTTGTCCTTTGGACATGTCTTTATTATTCTTTGAGCACTTATTTGAGACAAGAAGATTTTCCAGGCTTGTCTCATGCTTTGACTACTCCAGCCCTGAAATCAGTCATTTTTGGAGAAGCCCTGGTTCCTACAGGGACAGTGTATTTGGAAGCCAAGATCTGGCTATCAGATGCTGGGTTCATTTTGAAGGTAGAAATGACTGCATTTATAGATAGATTGGATGGATGTGTGTATAAGAGAAGGAGAAGGGTCCCTATTTCCTTTAGCTTTTTTTTTTTTTTTTTTTTTTTGGTGGGAAGGTACCAGGGATTGAACTTAGGGGCACTTGACCACTGAGCCACATCCCCAACCCTTTTTGTGTTTTATGTAGAGACAGGGTCTCCCTGACCTGCTTAGCACTTTGCTTTTGTTGAGGCTGGCTTTGAACTGGCTGTTCTATCTCAGCCTCCAGACCGGCTGGGATTATAGGCGTGCATCCCTGGGCCTGGCCTCTGGCTTCCTTTAGTTTTTTAAAGATCCAGCTCAAATATATTGCTTCTCTGAAATCTTCCTAGACACACCTTAAGACTATATCTAGCCCCTTTTTTCTTTTTCTTTTTCTTTTACCTAGCCTCTATTGGATTATTCATACATAAGCAACATCAGATGAAGATCCTTACCCTTGGTCTTTGGCCTTTAAATAGCCTGGCTCTGAAATCTCATCTCTAGCACTTGCTGGTTGAAGGAGTTGCAAATCTCTTAATCATTTTGTTTTTCAGACTTGTTTCTCAGTTTCTTCACCTGTAAAATGGGGTTAACGGCATGGATGTCACAGGGTGATTTCAGAAGTAAATGCTATGTGCATAGACCATGCAGGGCTCTGAGCCCAGCTCACCTAAGCTCCTCGGGCAGCTAGTCAACCTCTCAGTGCCTCTGCTTCCTCACGCTGCGAGGAACAATTGGAATCAGGCAGGGAGAATCTTTGGCACTGTACCTGGCAAGTGCCAGGTACAAGTGCCAGTCCCCACTGCTGCCAGCAGTTTTCTCAGTTTCACTCTCCTCTGGTACCTTGAGGTCACCTCTAGTTCCTGTTTTTAATCTCTCCCTCCACCTTAGGGTCTCTTATTTTTGGCCATGTCAAACATGATTTTTGCCTCAGTGGGTTTTATTTTAAAGGATGAGAGTCTTTGTGCAGTCTTGCATCATTTTTTTTTTTATCTTTTTCTACAGTTAAAATATTTTTCACCTCTAATTACTTTGCAGCCATTTATTTATTTATGAATTTTTTTTTTTGAGACAAGTTTGCTGAGGCTGGCCTCGAACTTGTGATTCTCTTTCCTCAACTTCCTGAACTTTCCATGTGCCACCACACCTAGTTTTGCAGCTAAGTATTCTTGACTTTTGGAGGGTGGTGGGCAGCTAATGGAGATTAAACTCAAGGGCACTCAACCACTGAGCCACACCCCCAGACCTATTTTGTATTTTATTTAGAGACAGGGTCTCACTGAGTTGCTTAGTGCCTCGATGTTACTGAGGCTGGCTTTGAACTCGCAATCCTCCTGTCTCAGCCTCCTGAGCTGCTGGGATTACAGGCGTGAATCACTGTGCCTGGCCTATTTTTGCTTTTCTATTTGCAATAGCAAACGGTCAAAACAATGTAAATGTCTAACAGTGGGAAAGTTTCTTCTGCTTTCCTTCCTTCTTCCCTCTCTGCCTTTCCCAATGTCTCTCTTCTTCCCCAATCTTTGTTTTAATACATGATCATCCCACAAAAATAAACAAAAACATTTATTGCAGTTTTTTTTTTTTTCTACCAGCAATTGATTTCAGGGGTGGTAAACCACTGAGTCACATCCTAAGTGGTTCACTGAGGGTCTCACTGAGTTGCTTAAGGCCTTGTTAAATTGCTGAGGCTGACCTCAGCCTCCCAAGGTGCTGGGATTACAGGGCGTGTGTCACCGCGCCCAGCTGTGGTATTGTTAATAATGATGAAATATTGAAAACAATCTAAATGTTCATCAATAAGGAATACTTAAATTGAGGTGCTTTCTATCAAATGTAATGCATTTGGAAGCAAGAATCCCAGTGACTTGGGAGGATGAGGCAGGAGGGTCTCAAATTCAAGGCCTGCCTAGGCTACTTAAGAAAACCCTGTCTCAAAAGAAATAAGAAAAAGGACTGTGGATGTAGTAAAATGGTACTTGGGTTCAATCCCTGGAACTGCAAACATAAATAGATAGATTGGTATTTTTTGAAATAATGCATATGGCTGGGACTATAGCTCAGTGGTAGAGAACTTGCCTAGCTTGTATGAGGCCCTGGGTTCCATCCCTAGTGTGGGGAGCCAGTCTGAATGATTTGCATTCTCCTTCTCTGAGCCAGAGAGGCTTTGACTGTCACTACATCTCGTAGTGACCTGGACATTGACTGGTCCTGGAAGTTTGAGGACGCATCTTCAGACACGGGCCTGTTGCCCCATGGATTGAGCTACGCTCACCTATTCCTTTGTGATATTACCCCATTGCCCTGTTTTGGATAGAATGTTCCATGGAAACACTTTGTGTGTCCCTTTCTCTTGCTCTGCCTTTGGGTGTGGCCTTCCAAGATGTCATTCAACCTGCTGACAGCAGACATCTGGAAGATAGACTCAGCCCCTGAAACTTGACCCCTTGCCTCATTTGAATGGCTTCTCCCCAATAAAAGTGTTCAGCTCTCTCTCTCTCTCTCTCTCTCTCTCTCTCTCTCTCTCTCTCAACGCTTAAGGTCAGAGGACCCATCACAGGATTCCAAAGGAAAAGGTATCTCTGTCTCTTGTGTGGTTATTTTGTGCCAGCCCAGTTCCCCTGGAGTGACCCTGAGTGTCTTAGTCACAAGGAACTCGACACCCTAGCACTGTAAAACATTTTTAAAAAACGTATGTATGGGAGATATATAAATTGCCAAAATATTTTTCAATAACAAAACCAAAAAAAGTTCAGAACAGTAGATAACAAAATACACAAATATATGCTTGTGTAAACACACTGTAAGAAGTATTTATCTGGGGGTGGGTGTGAAACTTTTCATTTTCATTTGATACTCTGCTGACTGGTAGGAAAAGCCATCAGCCACAGCCCCTAAGCATCCCTGCACATTCTTATTGGTATGCCAAAGATGCAAGCCCTGATCATTCCATACCCAAGTCGTTTTCAGCATTGTGTTTGTAGTGGGCAACTCAGGGATGAAGCTGTGTCTCCCTTCAAGACATGCAGTAGGTTGGCTTACCACGGGCTATAAAAGAGGCAATACCCTGTCTCAAGGTCAGGGTTCCTTGGCTGCCATGTCGGCCTACTGTGTACACAGTGGAAATGTGGACCCTTCTGGGCTGGGGAAATAGCTCAGTTGGTAGAGTGCTTGCCTAGCATGCACAAAGCCCTGGATTCAATCCCCCCGCCACCCCCCACACACACAAAATGGACCCTTCTGTGTCACCTCCCCCCAGGGACTCCCGGCATCGATATAAACCTAAAGCTCATTTTTCTTGCTATTCTGTGAGTAATGAATTCCTAAGTCTCTGACCCAAGAGTCTCATGTCTTTGGGTCAGATTAACTCATCAGCTTGTAACTAGGGTATACTCCCTGACTCTGCTAGGGACCTGTTCTAATTTATTATGCACAAGTGTTGCTTTTACAATATAAAAATCAGTTTTTAAAGGCAAAACCCCAAAACGACACATACCAAAAAGTTTAAGCTTCTCAATTAGAGGAAAGTCAGGAAACAAACTGTCCAAAGGAAAAAAAAAATTTACAGAGTTCTTTACTTGGGGCTGGGGGTGTAGCTCAGTGGTAAAGCCCCTGCACAGCATGTTTGAGGCCTTGGATTCCATCCCCAGCACCTTGGGTGGGCTGGAGGAGAGAATCCCTACTCTCACCCAGCCAAGTACAATTGGGCTAACCCCTCAGTAGATATATTTCCAGACCATTTTCCATATAGATCCCCACATGTTTACTAGTAGCATACAAAAATAAGATCATGGTGTACGAAATGTTTTGTAATGGCCTTGGTTTAGTTAAGCATGTCCTAATGGGGGCTGTTGTGGTGACCCTTAATTCCTTCTGGTGTGGTCAAGAACTTATCAGCCTGCAAAGGCTTTCAGGGCCCCCAGTCAGAGTCTGGGGCTTCCCCTGACCCTGCTACTTCCTGGGAGCTCTTGGGGACAGGAAATGCACCACCCTGGGTCCTGACCTAACAGCTTGGGGGACCACAGCTGTAAAGGAAACCACCCTCCCCTCCCATCTCCTCCTCTGCACCCCCTAGATGCACCTTCTTATGCCAGCTCTCACCCTTTGCCATCCTGTACCCCAATTAAGACCCAAATTCCCATTCCAGAAAACCCACACCCTCTCCTCCCTCTGCTGAGCCCCCAAGTCCTCCAGTACCCCGTGGTGATGGGAGCAGGAGCGGGTGGGGCAGGATGCAGGGGTGGGGTGGGTGGAGCCAGAGCCCACTTCCTTTCCCCTTGGGGCCCAGTCTGCCCCAGTCCTGCCTGAACCTTAGGAGGAGTTGGAGTGGCTGGCGCCAGCCCTGCACCTTATCAAATTGAACTGGTAAGAGTGTGTGACCTGGGGTAGGCAGAGGCCTCAGAAGACCTGGCAGTGTGCATATGGCTTAAAAAGATCCTGACAGGTGATGGGAAGAGAGAATCTGGAGCCATTGGGCTACATAGAATAAGGAGAGGCCTGGAGGGCATGGTCACTGCTGGAGTCTCAGTTGCCAAGGCTTGGGGTGCGGGGTGCATATGGTGGGGGTGATAGGGGAGCTGCCAGCACATTCCCTTGTTATTTTTGATAATAGTAAAAGTGAGGGTGGAAAAGTCGTTAAACCACAAGTTGGGCTGGCAGTTGGCAGGGAAGTGGGCAGAGGGGAGGGCTTGGCTAGGTCCTTCCCCTAGCCCCTGAGTGTTCTGTTTCTCCAACTTCCCCACCCGCAGGTCTCAACTCCTGTGCATGCCTGTCGCTCTGGAAATGGCGCTGCTTCTCCTTCTCTTTGGGGGCTTCTGGGTCCAGGTGGTGAGCCAAGAGTCTCTGGTGAACATGACGCATAACACAGGAAGATCCTCTGCTTCTTCAGTCGCAGGTAGCTTTGAAACCGGGAACTTCAAATCAGATAACTCCGCCATGCCAATAACAAGTGACCCTAAGGAGGCCAGTAGCACTGGAAGCCTGGTCTCAAACCCACCCTCCTCAACTACCTTTACAACCAGTGACGTGACCCACCCTCAGACTTTCACTGGCGCCAGCACTGGGCCCCCTGTACCTGAGCCAACAACATCCCAGGAAGTGTCCACTGAGAAGTCATCAGCACTCCCCCAAACCTCTAATGCAACTAGTGACCCTTCTGTCACTGAAGCAGTGAAGTCTTCGGGAAACCTCACTGTGACAAGTGAAAACATGACATTTGACTCTCTGGACACCTCCAATGTGACTAATAAGCTCCCTGTCGTCATGACAACTAGTTCTCTGGAGACCTCCAACAAGACCAGTGTACCCTTTGTTACTAAGGCAACTAGCTCTCTGGAAACCTCCAAGGAAACCAGCAGACCCCCTGTCACCATAGCAACTAGCTCTCTGGAACCTTCCAATGAGACCAGTGGACCCCTTGCCACCATGACAAGCAGCTCTCTGGAACCCTCCAGTGAGACCAGTGGACTCCCTGTCACCATGACAACTATCTCTCTGGAACCTTCCAATGAGACCAGTGGACCCCCTGTCACCATGACAAGCAGCTCTCTGGAACCCTCCAATGAGACCAGTGGACTCCCTGTCACCATGGCAACTATCTCTCTGGAACCTTCCAATGAAACCAACGGACACTCTGTCACCATGACAACCACCTCTCTGGGGACCTCCACTGTGACCAAAGGACCCCCAGTGTCTAGCATAAAAACCTCTGCATCTACTACCTCCCAGTCCTCTATAAGCATAAGCACTAGCTCCCCGCAAAAATCAGGGTCGAATGGCATGCTGCTGGTACCTGTGCTTGTGGCCCTGCTGGTGGTCATAGTCCTCCTGGCCCTGCTCCTGCTGTGGCGCCGGCGACAGAAGAGGCGAACCGGGGTCCTGATGCTGAACACAGGTGGAAAGCGCAATGGAGTGGTGGATGCCTGGGCTGGGCCAGCCAGGGTCCCTGATGAGGAGGCCACAACCACTCCAGGGGGAGGTGCTGGGGGCAACAAAGACTCTAGGGTCCTTGAGACGGAGGTGTCTGGCCAGCGGCCCTTGCTCACCACTTTCTTCAGCAGACGGAAGTCTCGCCAGGGCTCCTTGGTGCTGGAGGAACTAAAGTCTGGGTCAGGTTCCAACACAAAGGGGGAAGAGGAGCCACTGGTGGGCAGTGAGGATGAGGCGGTGGAAGCCCCCACTTCCAATGGGCCAGAAGTGGGGGATGGGGTTGCACGTTCAAGTTTTTAAATAATGCAATTCTGAGGATCCCTGCCATCTGCCATCACCTCCTCCCTTAGCATCGCTTCCAACCCCTTCCTCACCCAGCACACTCACTCAGCACCCTCTGGGTTCTTGCCCAGCGTCTTGACTCAGAATTGCACCTACCTTCTCAACCCTGAGCCTCCCGCCAGCATTGTTACCCAGTGCCACATCTGTCACCTGGGCCGGGGCGCACCTGCAGAATAGAATGTTTGTGAACGGAAAGACTCAGCCTTCTCATTGACCACCGCTTTCCCCACCGCTTCCCCATTACTTTTTGTTCTTGGAACCAGCTGCTGAGTCTCCATGATGCCAAACTTCACTTGATTTCTCAAAGGATCTCTCTTGAGGACATTGGAGAAGGAAATGACAATCCCCCAAATTCCTTAGGATTCAACTTTGTAGATGACCCAAGTCCCTCAGGTAGGACAGTCCTACTGGGCCAGCCCAGGGACCTGCATTCACTCTGGACCAGCCAGGAGCCGGGACTGGACAGGGCTATCCAGCTGTGTCCTCTGTGACATTTCCCAGAGCACTGGACTCTGGGCTGGCCCATAGCCCAAGCCATGACCCTGTCCCCGACTTGTGGACTGAAGCGGCCAGTGACTTCATTATTTCGTCTTCCACGGACAAAGATGAAAAGACTTTCTGGCCTCGTATAGTTCTCAGAGGCCCCACAACTGCCGGGGTCCACTCAAGGTGCCATTTGTGCCAGAGGTGAGGATTCCATGGTGTTTACGGAGGGTGATAGAAAGTGCAGTGGGAGGGATGGGACAGAAAGTGGGCAGAGACTAAGGAGATGCCAAACCCAGGGTGGGGGACCCAGGGACTGCTCAGAATATATGTGCTCTTGTCTTGGTTCAGACGGGGTACACCCAGCAAAAAATCCGATTCTCTCTGTAGCCCCCCCCCCCAAAAAAAAATGCCAATTTTGCCAACTTGATAAAAGGACCATATGTGTCACCAAGTCCGTTCCTTCAGCTCGGCCACCATTTCCAACACACACACACACACACACACACACGCACACACGCAGAGGCTGTGGAGAGGAGTCTGCCTGGAAGTGAGGGGACTGGTCCCTGCTGTTGCCTGTTTAATTTGCTGTCCCTGTGTCCTCTTCCAGGGCTCAGCTTCTTCCCTTCTCCCAGGGGAATCAGTGAGAGTGAGTCAAATAAGGAGAGGGGATGCCCAGGGAGGGGAGTGCCAGGGACTTCCCCTGTGGGTCTGGGGTAGACAGGAGGGGACAAAACTCACAGCTGTGCTGCCCCTGAGAGCCGCCCCACCCCAGCCCAAAGGGGCCAAAGGTGGTTGTGCTGTTTCCCCAAAGCCAAGAGGAAATTTGCAAAGAGGAAGTTGTTGAGTCAGAGTGCAGTTGTTTGAAAGCAGACAGACTGACCTATTAAAAAAAAGAGATGTGGGAGCCATGTGAGTGTGAACGCCCGCCATGTGGCCCAGAGGGGAGGGGAGGGGAGGGCCTATGGATGAGGGAGTCGGAGGGCAGAGGGAATGAAGAGTGGTGGCAGCATCTAGCTATTGTTTAAGCTGGGCCATTGCTTCTAGTCCTGGCCCATGGGGAAGGGCTAAGCTGGCATGGAAATGTGTTCTTTGGCAGCCAGACTGGGCACCCAGGGGCCACACTGGGCACTTTTTCCTATTTTATACAAGGTTGCTGTTTGGACTAACTGCAGCCCCAGAATGGCAGAAGGGAGTTGCCAAAGCCCCTTAGGGGTACAGCAACTGCTATCTTAGATTTGTCAAACCAAGCGCCCCAATTTCAGATTTAGAAGACACTGTCACCAGATGGAGAGGTCATCAGCTCCACCTCCCTCTCATTGGAAAGATACAGTCATCTTCTGAGCTGTGGTTTTCAGGTCCTGGGCAAATCCTGAAGAGAGCAGGGGCAGAGTGGGAAAGCACCCAACAGTAATTTCACAGTCTAGAAAATCTCAAGGTGTTCTGAGGATTAAAATAGAGGCACAAACACAAGCAAGTTACTCATTTCATGAGCACATTAAAGGAAAAAATGACACATGGCTCGCTCACTCCTGAGGGAAGGTTGGGAGGCTGCAGAGAGAGTCTGTCCCAGGGTCTTTGTCACATTCCTAGTGGCTACTGTGCTTGGCAGGTAGCAGGTCCTCAGTGAATGAATGAAAGAGGTGACCCCTCAGAGATTATGAAGGATAGGAAGGATTTGCCAGGCTGGAAAAAGGAAGGACAGTTTTTTGGCAGAGGGGATAGCAAGAGCACAATAAATATGTTAGGCAAAAACATAGAGACATTTCAATTTTTTTTTTTATATAATGAGGATTGAACCCAGGGGTGCTTTACCACAGAGCTACATCCCCAGCCCATTTTCTTTTGAGGCAGATCTCACTAAGTTGCTGAGGCTGGCCTCTAATTTGTAATCCTCCTACCTCAGCCTCCTGAGTCACTGGGATTACAGGTGTGCACCATGGTACCCAGCTGCCTTTCAGTTTTCTGGAGGATAAATAAAAAAAGACTGAGAGAAATAATTAAATATAAAAATGTGGTGGTAGGTTCAAATGTGTCAATTATGAAAATAGTTATAAGTTCATGATAATTGTGATAGTCACTAGAAACCATGTTTTTAAAAGCTATATGGGGCTGGGGTTGTAGCTCAGTGGTACAGCACTTAAAAAGGGCTAGGCATGCTGGGGTTGTGGCTCAGCGGTAGAGTACTTGCCTTGCACATGTGATGCCCTGGGTTCGATCCTCAGCACCACATAAAAATAAATAAATAAAATAAAGGTATTGTGTCCACCTACAACTAAACTATATATATATGCACATATATACACACACACACACACTATTTAATGGCACTGAGTGTTGCCAAAGGCAGAGCACATTTCTATGGCAAAACAAAAGCAGAACCAAAAAACTGTCATGATTTGGATGTTGCAACACTATAAATAAAAATTCAAAAGACATATGTATACTTATAGAAAAAAAGAAAAAGGAATCTTGCCAAATGTTTGCTGTGCTTGTCTATAAAGTGATGAGTGTGATTTTGATTTTGTTTATACCTCTCTGTATTTTCCAAATTTTGTACAATAAACATCTGAGATTTTGACATTTAGAAAAAATGTTGACAGAAAAGATGTTCCACGGGGCGACATGGGGGATGCGTCTGGTTTGAGGAGAGCTGGGGATGAGGCCGGAAGGGCAGGTTGGTGTCCTGCACGGAGGAGCGGAGGGTGGATAGGCCAGACACAGAAAGACAGGGCGAGAGAGTCACCAAAGTCAGCAGAGCAGTGTGCGCCTGCCTCTTTCCGGGCCTCAGCAAGGGATGGGTACCACTGTTTCTCTGGTTGCCCAGGCAACACGCCTAGGCAATATCCTCAAACCATCTCTTCTGTTTTTGCTCCCCAGGTGCCAAGTCAAGCTGACCCTTCTTCCACTGTCACTTGGGTCTCTTTCTTCCCTCTCTCCAGGCCCCATCACCCATCACTGGGTCCTGTCTAGACTTCTTTGCCCGATCCTAATTCCTTCCATCCCGTGCTTGTGAAGGCCCAGAGACCCTTCTAATTCTTTTTTTTTTTAAATTTTTATTATAGTTTTAATTGACACACAGTAACTATTCAGATTTATGAGGTACAATGCGATGTTTCAATATACATATACAATGTATAATAATCAAATCAGGGTTATTAGCATATCCATCAACTTGAACATTTATCATATCTTTCTGGTGAAAGACTTAAAATCTTATTTTGAAATACAAAAAAATAATATTAATAACTGTAGTCGCCCTACTGTGCAACAGAACACCAGAACCCAGGAGTGTTTTAACACTGAACTCTATCCCCAGTCCTTTTTACTTTTTTTGGGGGGAGGGTTACTGGGTATTGAACTCAGGGGCACTCAACCCCAGCCCTTTTTTTGTATTTTATTTAAAGACAGGATCTCATTGAATTGCTTAGTGCCTTGCTATTGCTGAGGCTGACTTTGAACTCGAGATCCTCCTGCCTCAGCATCCTGAGCCGTTGGGATTACAGTTATGCACCGCTGTGCCGGGCCTAAAATTGTTACTTTTTATTTTGAGACAGGGAGCTTGTGAAGATTTATGATTTCTTTTGGGGTTGTTTTTTTGTACTGGGGCTTGAACCCAGGGATGGTCTACACCCTAGTCCTGTTCATTTATTATTTCAAGATAGATATGTTGCTGAGGCTGGCCTCGAACTTGTGATCTTCCTGTCTCAGCCTCCCGAGTTGCTGGGATTACAGGTGTAGAACAGGGCTCCCAGCTAGAAACCAGAAATTATTCCTCCTAACTGTAACTTTGTACTCATTGACCTCACACCCTGCTTCCTGACCACTCCTGAGCCTCTATAACCATTATTCTAATCTCTACTTTTTATGAGATTGGCTTTTTTAGATTTTTTAGATCATGCAGTATTTATCTTTCTGTGTGTGATGTATTTCACATCACATATGCCTTTCATGTTATCCTCAATGACAGAATTTCATTTACAGTAATGCTATTCCAAATACTGAGTGGTAAGTACTCCATGGTGTACATGTGCCACATTTTATTTATCCATTCTTTCACTGATGGGCAATCGGAATTCCAACAGCTCCAAAAACAAATAATCCAACTAAAAAACGGGCAAAATGGGCTGGGGTTGTGGTTCAGTGGTGGAGTGCTTGCCTAGCATGTGTGAGGCCCTGAGTTTGATTCTCAGCACCACATATAAATAAAATAAAAGTCCATCGACAACTAAAAAAGTGTTTTTAAAAATGGGCAAAATACCTGAATAGACATTTCTCAACAGGTATATGAAAAAATATTCATACCACTAATCACCAGGGGAAATGCAAATCAAAACCACCAAGAGATATCATCTCGCTCCAGTTAACATGTGCTCATTCTGTGGCACATGCCCATAATCCCAGCTACTCGGGAGGCTCAAGCAAGAGGATCACAAGTTCAAGGCTGGTCTTGACAAATTAATGAACCCTCATCTCAAAGAAAAAATTTAAAAAGGGCTGGAGATGTAGTTCCATGGTAGAGTGCTTGCCCAGCATGCACAAGGCCCCATACCACAAAAATAAATAAAATAGCTACTATCAAGAAAGACAAAAAATAAATGCTAACCAGGATGAGGAGAAAAGGGAACTCTCATACACTTGTTGGTGGGAATGTAAGTTAGTACAGCCATATGGAAAACAGTATGGAGTTTCCTCAGAAAGTTAAAAATAGATCTACAATATGCCCAGAAACTTCATAATTAGGTATATTCCCAAAGGAAATAAGTATTTCAAAGAGACACCTACACTCCCATGTCTACTGAAGCACTAGTGACAACAGCCAAGATAACAAATCAACCAGGACCCTTCTCAAAGGTGCTGCTGTCCAGGTATCATTCCTGCATCCACAAGCCCTCCCTCTTAAGATAGCCCTGCCCCTCCTGTGCCCACCCTGCCTGACTAGCCTTTTGCCCAAACATTATAGATTCTCCAGCTTCATCAAACTCCTGTTCCTCCCTGAATAAGTCCTGTGCTCTTTCGAGGAGTGAGAAGAGCGTTTATAGTTTAAAATATTGAAAATATTTATTTTGTTCAGAGATCAAACTAGTAATTTTTCCTCTTTTACAAAAGTTAATTATGCAGGTGCTTCTTTTTAAAAAAATATTTTTTTGTAGTTGTACACAATAACTTTATTTATTTATTTTTATGTAGTGCTGAGAATCGAACCCAGGACCTTGCACGTGTGAGGCGAGCGCTCTACCACTGAGCCATCACCCCAGCCCCTCTAGGTTCCTAAATAACAAAATTTTCCTCTCTCTTACATAAACACACAAACACATCATCACTTACAGTATATTATACTTCATCTTATATTTTGAAATATATGTTTCTATTTTACTCTCAAGAGTACACATAAAGATCATGGTTATATCTGGGCAAAGTGTCACACACTTGTAATCCCAGCCATTCAG